GCCTACTCCACTCACGGATTCGGTTCAGTTTGAAATCCACTCCACGTTTCTCAGACTCCCGGGGAATGAGGGTGGGGTGTGGTAGGGTGGGAAGGGGAGCTAGAGGCGTCGCGGTGGGTGATCCCGGCATGTTGGGATTTAGGCTGAGGGAGGGGGGAGATGAGGCGGGGATGACGAACCCCGCAACTCAACCCTAGCCCCCCCATCCATTACTGACCATGATCCCTCCCTTACCAGTCCCAATTCTGCTTACAAGACCCCCCACTTGACCCTGGCATTCAGTCGAGGTGGGTGGTGGGCACAGCTGGCTGGCAGCTGGATGGGGTGGGGTGGGGGGGCTCTTTTCCTGACTCCTCCCCCTGTGACTCACCCGGTTGAAGGAAGCAGTTTCACAGCTCCTCCCTCCCCCGGCACCCCATCCCTCCAGACTGTAGACAGCAGCCCTCCCTGCCAAAACTGCATCCCATCCATTCTGTTGTCATTCCTCTTTCGGTGCCCTCTTCCTGGGACCTGGAAGCCATGTGGGGATGGAGGGTACCTCTCCCTTCACCCTTGGGGTTACCCTCTTCACAGGGGTGTAGGGAAGAGTTCCCCAACTTTTTTAACTTCAGCAAAGTTTGCCTGGACGAAGAAAGTCCGGGCACTTATTGGTTCCTAACTTCTGATCCCCACTCCCTTGATGTCCCTAATTTCCCACCCCCTTCCCTCAACCCCTGGGAGTAAGCACCGCCCCCTCCACCGGACCCGCCTTCCTAGGGCTTCAGTCCCTCCTCGGCCCACCCAAGTTGAGGCTGCCTGACTCTGGCTTCAGACGACTCCGCTCCCTCCTGCCCCCCTCCCTCCCAGAGATCCCAGCCAAGCAGGCTGGGAGGGGGTTGGGGAGGAGGAAAGGGAGGGCGTTGAGGGGCGGGGCGCATTCCACCCTCCTCACTGCTCCTCCGCCAGAAACCAGGCGGCGAGCCCCTGGTTGCAGTGGGGGTGTCTAAATATAGAAGCCGGGGGTCCTGTGGCAAGTGAGAAATCTCGTCAGCTGGAGGGGGTAATATGGGGAGCTCACTCAGAAAGAAGAGGGAACTGGGAACTCTTAGAGTTCTAGGAAAAGGAAGGTGGGAGGAATAACTGGAGGAGTGGGATCAAATGTGGGGGAGCAGGGAATTCCAAGCTCCCTGGTATCCCCGTTTGGTGTCCTAAGGGTTAAGCCCTCCCCCCCCGGGAACCCCCAAGTGACGTAAGGGGCGGGGCTTGGCATCCTGGCGGGGATGCCGGACCGTAAGGTAGGGTTGGTGGGGGGCGCTGAGTCCCACCTCTTAGAGAAAACCACCCGCCACCTCTCCCCACCCACACGCGAAAATTGCCCCCGGCCCCATCTTTCAGCTAGAAATACTGACCCTGGGACCTATACTCCACATTCCATTGTAGAGATCCCCGTCCTCCCGCCCCCCAAAACCCTAGTTCTTCCTTCCAGCCCCTTACGGGGCCCTCTGTCCCCCTTTCCCTAATCCGGACCAAGGAGCCAGCTGCGTGCTGAAAGATTGTTTCGGGGTCATGGGACCTGAAAGAGGCTGCAGGGCAGGCAGGGTGGTCTGTGCAGAAGGAGGGGGCTTTATAGTCCCCAAGCCCTCTTTGGGCGGGGAACTGGACGTAAGGGATGAGGAATATGTCCAAGCCCAGCCCCACAGGGGTCTCCCCGGTTTATCTTCAGCGCCCTGGTGGTCCTGAGGTCAGAGGGTAGAGGGAAAGACTCCCCGGAGATTCTCTCTCCCCTCCCCCGATCCCTCCCCACCTCCACACACCTTGGAACCCTGGAGTACTTTTGGGAAGAAAGAGGGGACAAGGTCACCAGAGGTCTGGGGCCTAAACCAGACATTAGGAGCTGAAAGGACAACCCCACTGTCCTACTTGCCCAATTCAGGAGACATTACCTTCACCCTAAACCAAACAGAGAAATTCATGTCTCATACACAGACTGGGGTACAAACTTTGACAGCACTCCCCCTCTTTTCACATATCCCCAACTCCTGCAGTTCTGGGGTTACGGGCCCTCGGATTCAGGATACCAAGACACCTGAGACCCCTTTCCACCTCTGGACCTTTCACCTAAGATTCCTCCATCCCTATAAACGAATGATATGAAATATTTCTAATATATGCGGACAACAGAGACAAAGAGACAGAATGATGACTGAAACAGAAAGGGACAGAAGCCGATGAAGACAGAAGAGCTACAAACTTTCTCATCTCTTCACACAGACAGCTCCCCCTACACTTTGCCCTGTTCCCAAGATTTCTATCACGGCGTGGGTGGTTGGAGGTGAGAGTGTGGGGGAATCCCTCTTAAACCAGAGCCCCCCTCCTCAACCCCCTCCCCCATGGCTCCCAGGTGGTCCCTGACCTGGCCCCCTTCTCACCTCCATCGGGGCTCGGGACGCGGGATGCGCAGTCCAGGGCTGGAGTCGGGGCTGGGGGGTGTGCGGTGGGGAGCTGGGGGGAAGGAGGGGGGACGGGCAGGGCCACAGCGGCGCAGCCTCAGTGCCGCCCCCGCCCCCCCCAACCCGGCCCCCCCGCCCCGCCTGCCGGGCCGGGAGCCTGGACCACCCGCAAGACGCGCAAACTTTTTTTTTCCTTTTTGCAAAAACTTTTTTTTTCCTTCTAGCGCTGTTGGCGCGCTGTCCCCCTCACGCCTCCCCTTCCCTCCCATTACCCTCCCTCGTGCAGTTCTGGTGAACTAGACTTGGGGACTACAGGAAGGAAAGAGGGGGGATGGCAAACTTGTTGTACCCCTGGACTTCTAGAATCCTCCCCCCTTTAGGAGGTACCCTATCTCCTAACCCTCAACTACAGCTCTCGGGACTGAGCACGCTGCCCTCGGCTAGCGGAAAATCCCGGCCTGGATATCCGGGATCGTCTGTCAGTGACAGAGAAGGAGCCAGAGACAAAAAACAAAAAAACAAAAAAACAAAAAACAAAAAAAACACGAGAAGTTGAGAGACGAAGAAAGACTGTAAAGTACGAAGTGGAGAAAATTTGGGGGGCTGTAGGGAGGAGGGTCTCTTAAGCAAAATTAGAACTCAGTTCTCTGTCCTTTGGTGTGCCTACTGCGCTCACCTGGCCATGCAGGAGCTGGGTTGGGGTAAAGGACCCCAGGAACTGGGGTAGCAAAAAAGCAAGGCAGGGACTTGGGGGTGTTAAAAACTGTGGAAGAAGAAAAGCAGACACAGGCTGTGGGACCGTGGGGATGGGTGACCGAAAGTCAACAGTAAACGAGAGAGAGACAAAAGCTGGAAGCTTTGGGGGTAGGTTGTCTGGGCTTGGAAGGCCCAGTTTGGGTATATTTAACCCTACGACGCTAACACTGATCCTCTTAAATCCTCCTGTGCCCGTAGGTTTTGGAGATGTCGGCCATCCGCCGATTGTACCTTTCCCTTCTCCCTTCTTCGCTGCTCCTTGCTCCCTCTGCTGGCCCCTCTGATGAACATCACCTTCTCTTAGACAACCTGTCTGAAGATAGAGATGGTATGACTATAGTGGTAGTGGGGACCTTGGGAGGGACGGAAATGAAAAAAACTCTCTGTAGTCCCAAACGCCAGTATTGTGGGAGCTCAGAGAGTTTGAGTATACCAAGAGAAAGTGAGAGATGGAGACATAAACGGATACACGGACTCCGGGAAAAGCAGTCAGAAACGGGGGTTCTGTGTATTGGAAGGAAGACTGCTCTTGTCCCCTGTCCCTCAATATCGTGTTGGCTCTCCAGTTACCATGGCGATAGGATGCAGGGGAAGGGTCAGCTATTTCGGTCTCTGATGTAATGGGGGAGGGGAGAAGAGTGGTGTGTGGGGGGACAAGGTCATGGCCAGGAACCTGGAGAATGCTCCTTTTTAATTATCTTCCTTACTTCTTTTTCACTTCTTCCTCAAGCCCTCAATTTCCCTCCCTTCCTTGCATCTTGGAACATCCTCCAAAGTATTTCTTGGGGAGTACGGAAGAAGGGTCAAATTGCTTGTTTGGGGGAAAACCTAAGGACAAAGGTAGAGCTAGTGAGAAGTTGGGGGCATGTTATTTTAACATTGAGTTGTTAACATGAGTTACGTTAACATGAGATGTGAAATTATTAGGGGACAAGAGGAGATAAGGAGCCAGGGGTAAGATTCTCTACCTCCCTCCCCCACTTGGCATCAACCAAATGTCCAGCCATTTCCAAAAGGTCAGGGACATAGATCAGCCTGGTCAGACTGATAGTCACCTGGTAGAAAGGAATTCACACGTGGTTCTTTTCCAGACACATGTCCTTGCCCTGAAGAGCAATTTACCTTTAGGGCATACTCCCCCTCCCCATCCCAGTCCTTGAGTCTCCCCCCAAACCTTGTATCAAGACACACACTTGGGACTTTTTCTTTTCATTTTTATTAGCAAAATATAAATATGTCTCTCTCCCCAGCAGGGCCTCACCCCTGGTAGAACTAGTGGGTGATCCTTTATGGGGCTCATTAGCTTCTCCAAGCTCCTATCTCTAAGTCCATCCCAGGCTCCTTCCCTGGGCCCATCTCCCTCTTAGCAGTTCCCAAAAAGCACCTCACCAATCCCTTTTTCTAGCATATATCTCCCCCATACCACACTCTCCTGTGCCCTAATTACCCACCCTCTCCTCTATTTGTCAGAAAGTTCTATCTCTCTTAGAAGGCACTGAGCAATTTTTCTGACCCCTCCCTCCCCACCCCTTAGCCATCTCTTCTATGGAGTGTTCAGGGTAGGAATCCTTTTCTATTAAGAACCATTTAGAGGAATGCCCTACCCATCTCCCCATTCTCCAACCAGCCTGAAACTGGACACTAAAGTCCCAGGTTAGACTCATCAGGCTTAACCCATAGGAGCAGACTACCAGGTCACCTGAGGAAGGGATGTCAGGAATTAGACAGCCTCAGCCATTGACCTGCTGACCCCTTTCTTCAGTGGACCAACACTATTCACACTTTCTCTAGCTCTGAATCCCTTGAATCCCCTTGCTAGCTGCAGCCACAGGCTTCCACTACCATATCAGGTACATCAGTTTTGACTACATTGCCACTTTGGTCAAGATAGAGGATGGAGAGTGGCCGACGGGCTGTGGGAATACAGCAAGAGGGGCCAGATGGCCAGGGACTATTGGCTTTGAGAAGGTTGAAGACAGCAGAATGGAAAGAGGCAGTAATGCCTGGGCTGCCAGCCAGGTGGGGCGGGCACTGTCCACTACAATAATTTAGCTGATACCCCTCAGGCTGCAAGATCCAATCTTGCCAGCCCAATTCCTGGAAGTCTACATAGTGGTCCCGCTTGCAGCATAGAAGGCTCCCAGGCTCACATGTAGGGGTCCTCCTTTTGGCCCGATCCCCCCCAGGTGCTCTGGCTTGAGTCCTGATCACCAGGAAGGGTTGATGGTGTCCAGCTGTATCCAGAAGTAAGTGTCTTGTAGCTGTGGTATTGCCTACGTGAGGCCTGCAGACCAGCTTGAATTTCAGAACACCCGAGTCAGTGCCTTCCAGTGCACGAGAAGGCAAGGTAAGAGCATTCCATCCTGGAGTGGTCATTTGATGCTCCACCAGCAGGGTTTGACTTCCCTGGACCCCTTTCTCCAAACCCCACTGGAAGATTTGAATGGAGGGAGTACCAGCTAGGGTGGGATGCAGATGCAGCCAAAGACGGATGTAGTATGGAGGTGGGTGTAAGGGAGTGGAGAGATGGAAGCTGAGGATAGATCCATAGGCTGGAGTGGAAGAGGAGCCTGTGGAAAAATAGTGGTGGTTCATGAATAATGTGAGAGGCCTGGGTCTTTTGATAGAAGAGTTATACTCTTTTCCCATCACCTTTTCAGAATCCTGACAGTTTTCTTCTTTTTTTTTTTCCTATCCTAACTTAAGAGATAAAGCCTTCAGAAGATCAGCTCCCAACCCCGCCTCTCCCACCTTCTCCCTCTGCAACCACATCCCTCTTTTGGCTGTATTCTTCCTGTCTCTATCTGTCTTTGGGTCTTTACCTGCTCGTTTTCCTCTTTCACCCACCTGTTTCTGCTGCAAAGCTGATGGTCTCCACCTGGTTCATCTGAGCCACCTTCTTAGACTGAAGTCTCCTTAAGGCTCTGGCTAGGATCGCAGGGTGGGGAGGATGGGGTATGCTTGGACGGCTGGTCAGTTGTAGCCCCTCCAAGATCTGTTGCTTGGCCAGCTCCAACACAAGGGCCCTCTCTTCCTGGGGTTCTAGTGTGGGTAACCCACACGATGGGCACCGAGGTCCTGATCTCTGAGCCCCTGCTAGTGCCCATAGCAGTACCACTAGGAGCCAGGCATCTGGGTACCCTATTCTCCCTGTGGCCATCCTAGGGAAAACAGAGTCTACTAGGCACAGGTGAAACACCTACCCGCTGCAGAAGGGAGAGTCAGGTGTCTCCTATTCTTGTACCCTGGAAACAAAAAAAAAACCCCAAAACAAAAATCTGACTGATGAAAAGTGGGGTATTCAGAGTTGGCTGCCTGGTTGATCCACTGAGCTTACTGACCCAGGGCCTCTTTTGAGCTGGCAGCCTGGGGCTCCCCCACCTAGTGGTCAATAGGCAGACCCACCTCCTGAGCACCAGGATTGGCCAGTCCTTCTGTCAATCAGGTCCCTGGTTGGGGGGAGTGGAGGATCCCCCACCCCTTCCAGAGCTCATGTTTCACCAATCTGGCTGTGGTGACAGGCTTGGGGAAGGGGTATGTGGGGGTGGAGTGGGGGGGGGGAGACGTGGACAGGAATGATGCAAGAAAGAGGATGATTTCACAGACTCCGATCCCAGGGTCCAGAGGAGGGGGAGGGGGATGTGAGCCTGTGAGCCAGGTAGAGGAGTCAAGGCCCCCTACATACAGTTGTCCCCAATACCTTCCACTTCTGTATTTTCTAGTTTCCTCCACAGCAGTTTGACGTAACAGGGTAGACTATTGGGCCTTTAGTGGCTACTACTCTGAGGGGTCAGGCCAGAAAGAATCCAGGACTCCATCCCCCAAAACAGTGAACAGGGAGGCTGGAAGTGCAGCAGCAACAGAGTTCCCAAGGCCAAGCCTAGGTGGCAGGTGCCACGGGGTACCTACAAGTCACCCCTTGTCCCCTATGTGTGCTGGCTGCCCAGAGTCCAATTGGACATGAATACATTGTGGGGGAGGGAGAGAACTGGTGGTGAGGTGTGTTACTGGGATGAATGGGGAAACCCAGAGGTAGGGGCGGGGCAGGGTGATGCAATTGTGGAGCTCGGGCAGAGTCCATCACAATTGGCAGAAGGGCATGGCACTTAGGAGGGCCTGGTGCCCAGCCTTGAATCAGGCACTGCAACTTGATCTAATCTCTTTTAAGGTGATGAGAAGAGCCTAGATTGTTAGTGTACCCAAAGCAGCCCCTCTTTGCTAACACCTCTCTGTTTTTAGGTTGAGAAAGGGAGGTTGGGACTTTCGAGTACAACAGCTTGGGGTCCAAGCCCAACTCCTCCAATCACTTTCTTCCTAGCTTTAGACAGCATTGGCTTAGCAGGAGAGGAGTAAGTAAGCATTTGGCCCCAGTCTCCCCTCACTCTATTATCATTCCCCAACAACTTGGGCCTCTAGAATAGAGGCCTCCAAGAAGCAGGAGACCTCAACTTTGCAGCTTAATAATACCAGCTATTGTTTATTTAGTGCTTTAAGGTTTGCAAAATACAGTGTATGTTACCTGATTCGAACCTCATAACAACCCTTGTAAAAATAGATGCTGTTGTTACTCTATTCTACAAATTGAGCCGGAGCTAAGGAAGGTTAAATGGTTTGTCTAGGGTTACAGTAAAAGCTAATTAATCTAGAAGCAGGATTTGAATATTGTCCTGATGAGTTCAGCTCTCTATACCTTCATTTTCCTATAAAATGATGGTGTGGTGATGAGGTTACAGTAACTCTGGTTACTGTAGTCACAGTAGCTATACACTGTGTGTAGTTAGCTGTAGTTAGCTACACAGCTGTGTAGTCACAGCTAACCTGTGACTTGTTGGCCATACATAAAGGACTTTTTTACCCTGAAGTCCCATAACCCACCTTAATTCTCTCCTTATTAGGCTCTGCAGTGGGATAACCATATGGGTACTACTGTCACCAACCAAGAGGTATGTAATCCTGCTCCACCCTCCTTGTGCGCAGTGGTTAAGCCACAATACCCCTGGCCACCACCATGTGGCAGTACAAGGCCACTGGACAGCAGCTGGTCCAGAGATGACCGGTTTCCCCTAAGGAAGTGGGTTCTCTGGGAAAAGAGACAGAATAGGAAGTGTTTTGTGGAAGACTTTTTTGGTCCTCCTTAGTTACCCAGGATTGGGCTCCTTCACTCAAATGCTCAGCTTCCTGAACTCAGAAAGAAGGTGAGACTAATCTCTTCCTCCCTAACCCCTCCCCCATAATGCTTTCTTATAGCGATAAAAGAATCAAGGACCTATCTTTGCCACAGTGTTGCTATAAGGCTGTGACATCTGTCTTTGTTGGTGCCCAGGGGCACATATTGGGTCCCAAATCTGGGAGAAGGGCCAGAGAAAGTAATGAGAAGCAGCTGGGGGTAGACTCTGACCCATATCCCCACCCCACCCCCAGCAAGTGCCCCCAGTTGCCAACTCTGTCAGCCCCATCTCTCCTGTGCCTGGTCTGGTCCTACCTCCCCATTGACACTTACGTCAGAGCTCAGTTAAAAATACTTTCCCAGCATCTTAGTCACTTTTCCCAAGAAGTGCTCCCGGTTTATAAATACCCTAGCCATCTGCCTTGCTGCCTGCCCCTTCACCAACTGAGGATTGGGTTAGACTGGGGAGAAGGGAAGAAGGAACCGGGGAAGCTGTAATCTAGCCACCAGACAAGAAGGTTGTTGGGTGGTGGGGAGGCAAGTATGGAGCCTGGGGTTAGAAGAACTGAACAGAAAAAGAAAACCCATGGTTCACATCCCAGTGAAGAACCTAGCCAAAAAGGGAAGGGACAGGCTCTACAGCAGGAAGGAGAAAAATTAAAACTCAAGGGGGACTTTCAGATAGGAAAAGACACTAGACTATCTGGATGTTCCAGCATGAGTTCTTATTTCCCTAAACATACCACACCCTAGAGGGCCCCTTTCTATTTCTTCTGAGATTCCCTCCAATTCCCCCCCTCCACCCCCACTTGCCCAGGAAGTGATTGTTGGCTAAGCAAATACAGACAATTCATTCCCCAAATGGCAATATCTAGCTTTGCGCAAACTGGACCTTGGGCACCAGACTATATCGACCTCTTAGTACAGAGCTCTCAAGCCAGGGGGAGGAGCCAGTGGGGGAAGGAGGGCAAGGGTCCAGAGAGGATTGTCACCAGATAAAAGGATCCACCTTGTTGTTCGTCCTTCTTTTCCAAGAAGACCAATGACATCACAGGGTGATGTCTTGACTTGTGTTTCATTTCAGACCTCCTTTCCCTTTTCCCACTCAAGTCCACTCACCTGGCCCGTGCCTCCTATCAGGTCTCCAAGATTGTAGACAAGGGAGGAAAACATAAGATTGAAACCTTTTCCTTCTTCCCCTACAGGCTTGTGCTGTAACAGGCCAGTGATTCCCAACCTCTCTGAGAGTAAAGACCCATTTTTAATGGCAAAACATTTCTCAGATCCTCCATTCCAACCTGGTAGTAATTGTGTTGCTATTAGTACCTGCTAATATAAAAAATACATGACAAAAAGCTACTATGATTTAGTAACATGCTTATATGAATTTCTTTTTTATTAATCACAATAGCAGCTACATATATTTGAAAAGTAGTAATGCATATGTGTAGAGACAAATTATTCTGTCTTCACAAGGTATGTTTGCTTATCTATTATACTGGTCATTTAATAAGATGGTCCTCTTGCAATAGCTGGGTGATTTCCCCAGAGGTCTGAAGCCCACATCGTGGCAACCACCAATCTGAGCCATGGCCAGCAGAATGTTAATGAGCAATAGGTCATCATCCACCCATTGATCAAGCAATTGATTAGCCTGCAAGCATCCATAAGTTAGGGCAAATCACAAAGGGCAAAGGAGGCAGCAGGTACTTGTCTTTAGAAATTAGGTATTTCTATTTTAAGGCCTTCCTATTAGGAGGTCTCACCTCCCTCTTACCTTTACTCGTCACAGATCAATGGTGTTCCAAATAATGGGAAGATAGTTAATTATAGGGATGTGAATTCAGAAGGAAGAGTAAAGCATCAAGGAGGGGCTTCAAAACTTTACTTGTTTCTGCTTTTACTGGTATCCAGAACAAGATTAGTGATGTTTGAATGGAGGAGGGAGAAGAACCCAAGATTATTGAGGAGCAGGTAGAAAGTAAAGAGAGGAAGTATAGTGTATGGTAGAAAATATGAGTAGCTTTGCCCTGGAGAGAGGATTTATATGGGACAGGAGAGGCATAGATAGGTTGGAAAGCAGGCTTGTCAAGAACTTGGTAGGGAAGTAGAGAGGAGGGAAAGGGAAAGGAAGGAAGCTAGGGATGTGATGGGCAAGGAAAAAGAGATGAACTTCAGCTGGGAGGAATTTTTAGGAGATAGGAGATATCTAGATATCAAAAGGAGATATAGAGATAGATAGATATTTCTAACAGATAGATAAATATAGATGTTTGTGTGTGTTTCCAAGGAGGTATACTTTTCAAGACCCCAGGCCCATCTGCACCTATCTTTCTGCCCTCAGAAAGGAGGGAAGGGGCTGGGTCAGCTCATTTGGGGGCAGGAGTCCGCTACTGAGATTCTTAGGCAACCAGTGAGTTATGAAGGATAGAGGGGAGTCCCTGAAATGGGGATGCAAGGAGTCTCCTGCTTTAAGATAGGCTGAAGAGTAGACTAGCTCTCTAGCAAGGGAGACAAATGCATATCCCTACCACTGGATGGAGGTGAGGGATCTTTTTAACTGAAAACATAAGGGAAGAGTCCCTTAAATGAGAGGTCTGGGCATGGATGGTGTTTGTGAGTTGAAGTGGGTTAGCATGAGGGTAAAGGAGAATAGAAATTTGTAGTAAATTTTCAGTCTATACCCTGAGCTGTCTTCTGAAGAAGGTAATGGGTTGACTCCCAAGGGGTAAGAATGTGGGAGAATAGGGAAGGGAAAAGAAGAGAATAAGCATTTTTAATAGCACCTACTATGTGCCAGGTGCTATGCTAAACACTTTTTACAAATATTATCTCATTTTATCCTCACAACAACCCTGTGAGGTAGGTGCTATTATCCCATTTTATAGTTGAGGAAACCCACAGAGGTGAAGCAATTTGCTCAGTCACACAGATGGTAAGTATCTGAGGCCAGATTTGAACTCGGTCTTCCTAATTCCAGGCCCAGTGCTCTA